CCCCGATACTTTATAATTTTTTAAAAAAAATTTGTTAGTTTTGAGACAGGGTTTTGCTAAATTGCCCAGGGTAGGCTTCAACTTGCTACCCTCCTGCTTTGGTTTCCCGGAGTGCTGGATTACAGGCACACCATAGTGCCTGGTTTCTCTAGGAAATCTTTAAGAGGAAGTGATACAGGTTTGGCCTTGAATCTTATCTCCATTGAGAACTCATAGATAGGTTAGCAAGTTGTCTCTTACTGTCTCTCTTACTAACTCTTTGTTCAGTTTCATTACATTCCTAGGAATATTTGCAGAATGGAAATTAGTCAGGGCTTACAGTTTAGGGCTTTCTCCCCACCAGGTAAAGGAAATAGAACACAAATGTAGAGTTGTAAATTAACAAACGGCTATATTCTGGAGTATAGACCACACTGGAGTCAAGTTGTATAGGAGTCAAGTTGTTACAAGGCACGCTAAAGAATTTAGACTTTATTCTGTAGATACTGAGGAGTTATTGATGAAATCTTATTGTTTTTTATTATAAGTAATAGAACAATTAAAATTAATTCAAAACAGTAAGGTATCTCATATAACAAGAATTTTAAGTAGGACCTCTCCAGGGTTGGATACTGTAGTTATTCACCAAAGATCAGATTCTTTTAAACTGTTTGTGTCTTTTGACCAGTGTAATAGCTCATAATTCAACAATGTACAACAGCAGAAAAAAAAATTTCCTTCTCCATGTCTCTTTATAAGAATCAATCTTTCCCAAAGCTTCCACTGTGACTGTCAATTGGTGTTAGTCTCACCCAATGGCCAAGTTCTTTGGACCTCAAACAAAGAATTGAGCAGACACACAGAAATAGTAAAGAAGGCAGAGACTTATTAAAAAAGGAAGTATGCTCTGTAGAGCAGAAATGAGTAGATGAGAAAATTCAGTAGTGAGTATGAATCACAGCAGCCTGGTCTGTTTTTAGGTTTCAGGTTAAAGGCTGCTTGGAAAGTTCTCAAGGAGCAGGACTAGAGCAGGCAGCTGTCAGTAATGAACTATGAGTGCAGGAATGGAGGGTCTGGCTGGCTGTGGTGGCACAGACCTGTAGTCTCAGCACTTGGGAGGCTGAGGCAGGAGGATTGCTGGGAGTTCAAGGCCAGCCTGGGGTAGATAGTGAGTTCAAGGCCAGCCTGAACTACACACTGTGACTCTGTCTCAAAACAAACAAACAAAGAATGGAGGGTACCCAGAGCTTGAGTCCAGTGAGTTCCAAGGCTTGCTTCTCTTTTGTGTTCCTAAAATTTGGGACTTGTTCAGGGGTGATAATTAATTGGGCTCTGTCCAATTATTTGAGTCTCCACTCTTATGTAAGGAAGGGATTTTTTTTTTTTTTCACTTTACCTGATCAGCTTGGCTGCCAAAGCCCACCTGGACACCTAAACCACATTTCGAATGGTATTATAACATCCAAAGCTATCTTCTATTATGCTAAAGCACTTAGGGTACATGACTCCTTGGACTCATGCCAGAGGGCAAGGAAATGTGATAAGGACAAAAATCCGTTCTTTTAGGCTCATGTCAGAATATTAAGGACTATAGTGGCAGCAGGATGCCCTGTGGCCTCCAGGTGCCAGAAGGCATCCTCTCTGTTGTGAGCCAAAGGCCAGAAAGTGTCCACACTGTCTGTCTGCTGCTTTACCATCACTTGCCTAATTCAAGAACCAGAAGGGTGAAGGAACCTCGGGATCCATCAGCCCTTCCTCCATATCTCTCCCACTCAATGCCCATTCCCTTATTTATTGATTGATTTATTTATTATGGTACTGGGCATTAGACCTAAGACCTTCATACTAAGCCCTTGGTTTGAACTTGTGAACCTCCTGCCTCAATCTCCCAGAGTGCTGGGATTACAAGCATGTGCCGCTATGCCCAGCTAAACTTATCAACATGGCAATGTGAATAAATCTCAAAATCATTTGTTAAGGGGTCAGAGTACAGCTCAGTTATGAGTCCCTCTGTTCAATCCCCAGCACTGAAAAAAAAATTGTTAAAAAAATTAAAGCCATTCAAAGAAATTCAAGAGGAGGCAAAAATGATCTTGATAACAAATCAACCATGTTTACTTTTGTGGGAGAATCGAAGACTGAATGGAAGAGAGCATAGGGGATTTTTTGGGGGTGATCTTATTTTTAAAAATTAGCCAGATATGGTGGCACATGCCTGTAATCCCAGCACTGGGGAGGCTGACACAGGAGGATTGCTGTGAGTTCAAGGCCAACCTGCACTCTAAAGTGAGTTGAAAGCCAGTCTGAACCTGTCTCAAAAAGACCAAAAAAAAAAAAAAAAAAAAAGATTTTTGTTTTTTGTTTTTGACCATTTGAGATGTTTCTAATTTGGGGCTATTACAAATGGAGTTATTATGAACATTCAATGTATAGGGTTTTTTTGTGTGGATATGTGTGTACATATATTTTTCATTTCTATGAGTGGACTTTCTGGATCATTGGGCAGGAATGTGTTTAACTTTAAAGAAGTTATAGATTCATAGTTTTAGTCACAAGAATTCTGAGTAAGTCTGAGGTTCCTAGGTATGTACGGTACATAATTTTGCAAACTCCTCAGAACTGTTTGTCTAAATTATAGTGGTGAAAAGGAAGTTATTTTGGTTTGGTTTTCTTTTCAACCACAAAAGCATATAAATGCAACTATTCTCTCTCTCTCTCTTCTACTTTCCTGGTTAGCTGCAAAATAGCTTTCTTTGAATAGGCCCTGCTCCATTAGCTCCAGTATTGCAATAGTGTCCCTTTTTAGTCTCTAATGCAAAGCTCTAGGTTTTCTGCTCTTATTTAAAAGGACGTAAAATCCCAGGGAGCTCCTGGAAGCAGCCCATAGAGTTGCTAGTGATGAGTAAACAAAAACAGGTTGCTAGGATGGAAAAGAACTTTGAAGAGGAATTGAGGGAGCATGGCCTTACTTATACTGGTAGGTTTTTTCTGTTGCTTTCTCTTTCTTTCCTTACTTTTCTACCTGCCAGCAAAAGATAATCAGCTGTGTACAGGTGCTGCTATGACATCTACATCAGATGGCCATGTCTAAGTATCTTACTTACATAGTGACAAGCTTAAATGGCTGCACATCGCTAGAAAAGAGGCCCCAAATTTCTAAGCAAAGAAAATGATTCAGAGGAATGGAAAGGGAGTCACTTGATGGATTAGAGGCTGGCTGAGCTGGGACCAATACCCAGGTGGCCTGGCTCTCAGCCCAGCTGACCACACTGCTACCCACATAGCCTGGCCTAACCAAAGACAAGCAGCCCATTGAGTAATTACACAAACAACAATGAGTGATGGATGGGCAGAGCAAGAAACAGGCACAAAGCAATTGCAACCCCATCACTTCCTGGTCCTTAAATTTCCAGGCAGCCCTATAATGGGTAGTAATTTAAGTGACTTTGACCAGCCCCTTGGCCCAGCTTTTGAATCTGGGAACTGATAGGTTTTTTCCCCACCTGGTTCTTCCTAGTCATCACGGTTCAACATGGCGAAGAAACCACAAAAAGACATCTTATCAGACTTTTTCTTCTTGATCCAAGCCAGACTTCCTGTCTTTCCTTCCCATACATCAAAGATTTCCTAATCCCGATCTTCACAGACTAACATGTAGCACTAATCCATCACTGTCAACTAATGTAATCCTCCCCAAGAGTTAATCTATATAAGCAGCCCCTCTACCCTTTGTCTAGCAAGAGAGTCTATGCGTTCCTCTTCAGCCTCTCCTGTGCCCCCTCATTTTTAGCTGTTGGAAATTGAGTTTCAGGAAGTAATTTGGGGAAAGAAGAGTTGACCATAGTATTTATTTTTACATAGGCCTTGTGAACTACACTTGAGACGTATGTAACCTAAGTACTGCAGTGTTTAGAATCTCAATTAAAATCGAATATTTCGATGGTTGGTTAAAGCAGTGAATGGCCTCGTTTTGTCATGAAGAGATACTTATTTAGTGGCTCTTATTCCTTAATAAACTCCACATCCTCTTGTCATCTTATTAATTTCTTTAACAAACATAGCTTATTTATGTTCCCATACCCATAATGTATTATTCACATGGCACATATGAGTTGTCATGTATAAAAATTGTATTTTTACTAGACTTCAAAATCTTTGATGTATGGTATTATGTCTTGTTGATTTTTTTAAAACCTCAATATCACTGAGCACAAAGCATTGTACATGGGACTCAAAAAGTATTTGAGTGCACTGTGCTGTAATATTGTAAAAGGCATTACAAACACAAGTGCTGCATAACATTTATTCATTGTGCCAATTGTCTAAGATACATGTGTCAGGTGGTAGCATTGTTATGCAAGTAAACTTTACAGAGCAGGGTGTTTACTTGAAGAGTGAAGGAACAACAGAAATGTGTACTGGACAGGCTGATTTAGAAGAAGCTATGTTAAAATTTCCCCTGGTTAGCGTGGGATGACTGTGTAGAGTAACTATAATTTCAAACTTTTAAAAATATTTTCATCTTTCTCACCTTTCTAAATCCATTCCGCCCCTTTCTGTTTCTTCCCAGAGCGGTGCAGCCAACTGATTCCACCCTAAAGTCTTAAGAGTCCAACCCTCACCCTTCAGTTCAAGAATGCTCTGGCCAGGGACTTCAGGGACCAAGGCCAGGAAAGAACAGGGTCAAGCGCGGGGCAAGCGCCAAAGTAGCTGGCGCGCGAGGCAGCGGCGCTAAAGGCGGGGCCGCGACGGGGCGGGGCGGGGCCGGGCGGGACAGGATGAGGCCGGGGGGCCGCTCGGGTGTCACCACCAACCCACTCCGGCCGGAAACGGGCGCTTGTTTCCGGCCGGACGGCCGAAAGCCACAGATCCTGAACCATCCGCTGGAGTCCGAGTGGCGGTCGAGTGTGGAGCCGGCAGAAAGACGCCGGGAGAGGCTACTCCCCATCAGTCCCGTCCGACTCCAGTTCCAGATCCTGTGCGGAGCCACAGCCGCGGTCGCAGTGTCCGCCGCCGCCGCTGCCTCCGCCTCCGCCTCCATCGTCGTCGGGGGAGGGGCCGGTCGGACCCCGGGGTCACTGCCGAGGAATGAAGAGAGACGGCCGGGCCCCGCTCTCTGCCCCGGCCTAGGGCCTGGCCCCAGGAGTCGCCAGGGTAACGGAGCCCCCAGCCCTGACTCCCTCCACGTCTGCCCTCGCCCTTCCCGCCTCTCCAGAGTCCCGAACTCTGCCCCTCTGATCTCCACTGCCCCTCTTCTTTCGACCGCTGTTTGTTACACCTGGAGCCGTCTCCCCTCGCCACTCGCTCACCCCGACTGCCCCTGGCTTCGTCCCCACCTTTCCGCCTTTATCCCTCCCTTTCACCTGTGTCCCGCGCTTTCAGCCCCCTTCGGTCCCCAGCTTCTCTCCCTGAACCCTGCGGAGCGGTGTGGACGGTTCTCGTCCTCCCCAGGCTTTCTGGGAGGGATGGCGGAGTTTCAGGGTGATTCAGATGCAGGCAACTATCCCCATCGTGAGGATGAAATTAACTTTAAAGACTCAGCATAAAAATAGAAGGAAAACAAGCGTGGCTTGCTTTTCGATAGCCTGGTTTTAAGGTGCGTCTAGTAATGGAGGGAGGGAGCGAAAAAAGATACGGGTAAGAGAGATTCTAGGGCAGGCTTATGAACTTTAGAAAAAAAGAAAAGTTGCCATGAGCCGATGGAAACTTTAGAAACTGATGATGAGTAAGCCGGGGGGGTGGTGGTGGTGCGTGATCTCACTCTTCTCATAATTACTAGGTTAACGGTGTGGCTCGGGTCGGGATGGAATGGGATTTGTTTACTGGGCCGGCGTATTTTTAGCTTGTCGGCTAGCGAGGACCAGCGCTCAGTCTCTCTCCTCTGGTGGTGGTGTGTGTCTAACCTTGGTGCTTCTCTGGCCACAATACGGATGTAAAAATTGGAAAGTTGACGGAAGATGACTGTTGAAATTTTATGTAGGTTTCTCCAAAACTTTTCAGAGGGTTTTCTTTCTTTAAATGCGAAGTCAAAAATTAGCAGTATTAGACTTTTATTTTCCTTCTTTTGTTTATTACTGGGGAGTGAACCTAGGGCCTTACTGATTGCCATATCCAGCTTTTTAAAAAATTTTAGACAATTTTGTTATTAACAGTTCAAACTCCTTCCTCAGCTTCCCAGAGCGCTGGGTATTACAAGCATCGGTCACCACCCCCGATTTTCCTTATTATTATTATTACTTGTTTTAAGTAAGTGTAGCTTACTTAAAAACTTAATTTGCTTTACTTAGAAAATCAGAGACTGGTAATTTTTCAGTCTTTGGTTTCTTAATATGTAGATCTTTGGGGAAACTGGATTCCTTTTGTCTGACACCTATTTAAAAGAATAGTGTAGAGAAGAGGTGGTGTAGTTAATACTGATCCAAAAGAAAGGCTAATCCCTAAATATTTAAAAAAAATTTTTTTCTGTATCACTTTCAATAAGCGTTTAGATACACTCTTTCTTAGTAAATAGGATTACATTCTTTTTTTTTTTTTTGTCTTTTTCCTTTTTATCGGTACCGGGGATTGAACTTACCGACTGCCTGCTTGCAAGGCAGGCGCTTATGCCGCTGAGCTAAATCCCCAGCCCCAGGATTACATTCTTGATGGGGTGGAGAAATCTACAGGGGCTTAATGCTGGGTGGCCAAGGAGAATCAAACCATAATTTATATATAAATACTTTATAGGCAAACAATAAAGAAATTATAGCATTTGTCCTCGTTTTTCAAGCAGGTCTTAATATTTAGTGACCAGCCTGCTGTGCTAGTCTATTGAGATGTTGAATGCTAAACAAAACAGTAAAATAAATAAAATCGATGTCACTCATGTTCCAGCAGAATAAGTCTTAATTTTTGCTAGTCAACTGGCATGCCTTAGAACACCTCTCCAACTAGATGGCCAGTTACTATGTACTTAGAAGATTTCAAATGAATGTAAATATTAGCTCATGTTAGGAATAATTGAGAAGGTAAATGTGCTGAGAACATACTGTGTTTCAAAACTAAAATAGATTGCTTTTCGATTTTTATCCTCATTTTGGATCATCAGCACCTTTCTGTCAATAATTGTCCATTAACATGAATAATTTAGAATTGAAAGATATCTGCTTTGGACATTGTACATTAAAGCAGGAAGATGGAAGATAGTTTCAAACTATATTTTTTGGAGATGTTGCTTTGTATGATTTATCTCGTTTACTTATTTATTTATTGGCGTTTGTCCTGTTGACCACACTGGCCGTCTCAATCTCTTGAGTAGCTGAGATTATAGACTTTTGTCTTGCTACCCCTTTTATTTAATACCAGGTTTCTTAAAACAAACAAACAAAAACTGCTATAGTGCTGATACCTTGTAAAAGGCAAGATGACCAACAATGTTAATTTTTTTATTGCCCTTAGTGAAAAAATATTTAAGTTAGAGACTAAAATATAATTTAAAAATAACACATTCTCTAGGCTGTCGATAGATGTTATAATTTGTTTTTGTTGGTACCAACGGTTGTTATTATTTGTATGATGAATTTTATTTATGTGTATATTTAGCAACTTCCCTTAGTTGAACTGTGTATATTGTTTTGCAGGATGGAGGTTGAAGGGATTGACTAAACCTAGGATTAAACATAGAGCAGCATGTTAGCCCACCACCATTTGAGGTTCTCAGAAGACTTTGTTTGGAGTTTTGAGACTCATTACATGTAACTAAATGAGTTATGATGGAATGATCTAGTTTTAAAAATCTATGTATTAAAAAAAAACCTATGTATTTATTTTTGAGAGTCTCACTATGTAGCCCAGGCTGGCCCTGAACTTGTGATCCGATCCTCCTATCTCAGCCTTCCCAGTGCTGGGATTATAGGTGCCATCATCCCTGGGAAAATAATACAGTGTTAAAAAGAAGCTTCCACATTGTTTTGAAGGTACTAAATAATCATTTCTCAAAGTTTTGGAACTCTTGAGTATGTCAAGCAGAGGTGGGTACATTTCTTTTGGGGAGTACTCTATCCCCTCTTCTTATCCCAAAGGGAAAATCCTTAAACAGTGCTTTGAAAAGTGACTTCAGCAGTATCTTTCCTAGGGGGTGTGAAATATCAGCTCCTATGGAATCTTCTTAGTGGCTCCTCATATATTTAGATCATTAAATATTTGTGTAATAGATGCAGGGTAGTTTTATCATGAATTTCTGAATTCAATTGATTTTTTTCTTTTTGTTATGTGAGACAAGGTCTCACTATGTAGTTTCAGGTTGCCCTTGAATTTACTATGGAGCCCAGGCTGGCTCAAACTCATAGTGATCCTCCTGCCTCAGGCTTCCAAGTGCTGGGACTATAGGTGTGTGCCACCATGCCTGGCTAAATTGATTTGTTTAGTATGCTAGAAGGACTTTTTTGAGGAGCAGGGCACTATTTTCTTTTATATAAAAAAAATCCTTGCTTAATAACTACTGTTGTTGAACACTCTTATAGATATAAAGCAATCTCCAAGCTCCATTAACAGACTTTGGAAAGATAGAAAAGATGTAAAACATGTGTCCTTTCTCCTGGAGTTGGGGATAGGGGTAGAATAGTGAAAGATAGCATGTAAGAGTTTGATAGATCTTTAATACTTAGGAAAAAGAATATGTAACTTCTGAGAAAATTTAAAGTAATAGATAAACTCATTTCTCAATGAGTAAATTGTGAAATGAACTTGGAAGGCTATGGATTAGTTGTAAAGAGGTAGCATCTATAGAATAGATGTACTTGGGTTCAAATATTGGTTCTGCATTTTGTTATGTGATCTTGGGCAAGTTATTTCTCTGTCCTTTTCTATCAAATAGATATATAAACGTTCAGGTAAAATGAAATGGTTTTTCTGTGTTAAGAGAAAAGAAAGGATTTTTAAATAGAAAGTATAGAATGTACAATGCACAGAGTAGTGTGAATGACTTAAGTTGTGTGTGCAGGGAATCCATGTGAGAGCCTGGAGAGAACTGTGGGGTGGTCAAACCATGGGTAGTGCTGACAGGAGGCTCAGAGGCCAGACTGTTGGGTGTGGACTGAAGGTCAATAGAGTCATTGTAGGTCTTTGAACAAAGGATGGATTTCATGGGAAGTATTGAGCTCTTAGCCCAGGAACTGAGAGACAAGGAGTCAGGCATCAGTCCTTTGTGACCCTAAGCTTTTGGTACCATCCTGGCCTGAAGGCATAAAGCCAGGAAGCATATGATTCCTTGTAAAAGTTTTGGCATTGACACCTTACCAAGTTGAACTCTGTGGTAGGGAATTTCAAGATTATGGCTGGGTTCTCTGCAAGAGCTTTATGTGTGTAAGAATGGCATTTATTTTAAGTGCATATGACTCTTAATTATCTCTGCTCATGTAGGGAGCACTAGAATAGGAATTCAGACCTTAATGAATTTTGAAAATGCATTAGTTTTTAAAATTTTGATTTATTAGTACATGTATGTAGTATATAATGTTTATATTTCTTGTGGGGAGTGGTAACATATATGTAACACATTTTAATTTCTTTTTCATCCCCTTTCCCTTTTCTCCCTCCCTCTCCAACCATTCCTGGAATCCTTTTTGTCTTTTTTTTTTAAAACAGGTTGGCAGTACATAATGTTTCCATTCCTTGTGTGGAGTTTGTGGTTTTTAATTTTAGTTTTTTGTTTCTTTAAGATAGGGTTTCACTATGTATATAGTTTAGGCTGGCCTTGAACTTACTTTGTAGCACAGGTTGGTCTCAAACTTGCAGTGATCCTCCAGCCTCAGCCTCCTGAGTGCTGGAATTACAGGCATGTGCCACTTTGCCCAGCTAGAAAATGGATTAATTTTAAAACTAGATTTAGTATTTTGAGGGTTATATTGATGTTAAAATGAATTTCTAAACCTGTATTACCTGATGGTTAGGAGACTACACCCATGGCAAAGAGCAGTCAACCCTGAATTAAAAATTTGGCCTCAGAAATCTTTAAAAATAATTAGTGAATAATTAAGACCAAGGTCCATCAAGTTTCATAGCCCATACTTCTTTATGCCTAATCCATAAACTATACTGAATATATTAATGTAGGCTTAATTTCTTTTCCAAATCTGTTGTCAGTCCAGTGTGATCTCTCAGGTTTGCCTTATGCC